CCTCGATTAGGCTCTTCTATATGCGGGTGGAAGCTAACATGAAATTACTATTTGTGAAATTAATGAATAAAGTTTGTTGTTGTTTGTTATCGTTTAGCACGTCGGGTCGAATTACTCGCACGACTCCCCAGACGGTGTTTTTTGTCTAATAGGGCAAACTGAACAACCTTCGTTACGATCCCTTGGGAGAGTCTTTTATTTGGTCAGATGCGCTTTGATATTTGAATTCCGTAGTAAGGGCAAAAGGATTATGCGTACCCACAAAGCGATTTAGCCAGAATGGGCGGTTAAACGGGCGGCTCTCGGATCGATGCAGCGGAATTTGGAAACTTTTACCGCTGGAACGGGTAGGTAATAGCTAAGCGCTCTCGCGGGTGGAAATTTTAGGAAGATCGGTCGACTTTTGTGGAATTTATCGGCCTTCGAGTGGCGACGGTTGGTGTTCGGGACCGGTTGAAGTTTCCAGCCTCGAGTTTTTTTTTATACACAGTTGAACGGTCGCACCACACGCCACAGGTGGCCCAGGCTCTGTCACAGACTCTTTCACAGGCTCTTTCACAATGGATTATTATGGAGTTTGTATAGTGGTTTAGTTGGACTTCCTTTTGGGCTCCGTAAATATAAAGTTGTGTGAAATAATCAAAGAAATGAAGTCTTACCTTCATAAAGAGTAGTCTGTGCTGTTCTTTTCGCGGCCGTTTTGCTGTGTTTCAGCTTAACGTCCTAGCACTACCAAATAAAAGGGAAGGCAGGAAAGCTCTGTCTCACACACGCTCGCCAAAATCGCTCGAAAAACACACTTCAATACTTCCCCTTGAATCGAAACTTGGCAGCACGAAATCCAAATAGTTGCCTTTCAAGTTCACAAAACAAATCCCACAAAAGTTGGGTTGTCGAGCAACCAGCCCAGGGAAAATCTCAAATTGACCGCCATTTCAACGCCATTAGAGTGCGCGTCCGTCAAATCAAGTGAAATCGGTAAAATAACGACACCAGGAGCAAACAACGCACGTATGGAATAAGCTAAGCCATTTTTATTTAATATTTTCACTTTTAACTATCTCTATGGATATCTTGAAGAAAATCCCATACAAATCCTTATAAATCGACATGCAAATTGTGTTCCTTGTGTGGTTCTCAAAAAGAGCTTGTACCGCCTGTGAACAGTTTTCTTAATTCATTGTTCGGTGGAAAGCACTTCTCTATCAAATTTCGAAATTCTCTTCCTATGTTGGTTTGAACATTTTTATTAAATGGTGGGTTGAACCAAGTTATATTCCTATGTCTGTTTCTCCTGTTAGTGGTGGGGTGCCACTCTATGTCCACAACAAATCTAACTACCGCCCCCCTCCCTGAGGCTATTAACAAAAGATTATCTGAAATCTCATCTGACGACGCGACGAGGAAGCCTTCAAAGAAGCAGCACCACCCTACCAAGAAGCGTTAAAGAAAAGCGGTTAACCATACACCCTTAAATTCTTTAGGACCCGTGGGGATAAAGTTGTCACTCACAAGTAATTAAGTATATTAAAGCGTGACTTTCTGATTGGACGACGTTAAGCGATGAACAATTCAAAATATCTAACGAGGGTGGGGAACTATTGGCGTTTAATCTTCGTTTAACGTCGTCCAATCAGAAAAGGGCAATCAGCGTGACGGTTTCTGGCTGGCACACGAGAATCTTGTTACGCATCCCAGACGTTTTAATACTGTGGGATTTTTGATTTTCTTCGAGGGCTAGCTGCGGTCCGTTTGGATGGATTTTCGATTGGAAGGTACGAGGAGAATCGTGAATCTTTTGACCTTAATGCTGCGAAGTTTGAAAGCGGAGCGATGCGATTCTCGGGGGAAAAATCGCTCTGGCGCTTGAACCCTTTCAAAACAAGGTTTTCACCCTTGTCTTTTCTTTTATGTATTACATTAACGACGAACTCAAGCCCACTAACGACGAACTCAAGCCCAAACGTTAGCCCTTCGTCGGAGCGACGAAGGGCTAACGCTCGAAACGTCAGCTTTTATAACCGTAACGGTGGCCAATTTACCATTTCAACTTTGTTGATATATTCAAATTATTTCGTTGCACCCACCGACGCAGCGCCAAACTGTTTCTTTACAAACTATCAGCCTTTATTCATAAGTTAATTCAACGTTTATTTCTCATTGATTTATATACGTAGTCAGCAATATATCGCTGTAGTCGAGGCAAACGGTAAATCTGGCACATTGGCTATAAAATAACAATCGGCTTCACAAACAGATTGTATGGACTTCCTGTGGTTACCGTTAATGAACTTTACACCCAAAGTCAGACACACAGTACGCTTGGGTAGCCTGTGGTATGAATGGAACTAAGCGGAAACTCGTGGCAAACCCACCTTCCTGTCACAAGACATGTTAAACAGTATCAGGAGATCTCTCTTGTACTAAAGAACACGTGCATACATTACTTCTTTCAATTTTTTTAACGTAAAGGCCCCAACATCTTATTTAACAAGTGAGATTTCAGGTCCTAAGTTGCGCTGTTTCCAATAATTCCTCTTTCTAGGTAATTACGCGTCATCTTCACTTTAGCTCGAGAGATTGCGTGACAAGTCAAGCCTTCGCACTGTGAGCGGCTGGCTTTCGAAGGAAACGTTTTGTCTTCGTTTTTCTGATGAAAGAGTCAACCTGAAATATGAAATATTAATTGAGTTTAAAAATTAAAGGCCGCAAAGAGAAGTACAAGAAATAGCGACCGTGCGAGGTTCATCCATCAGGATGAATTTTGCCAATGCATCAACAACGCATCCACCCATTACTTTGAGTTTTGGAGACATCGGAAACACGACTCTGAATCGTGCTTTGGTAACCATTACCTGCTTTTTATCTCTGCTTGGAGCATCAATAATTATTGCTACATATATCGCATGGAAGGATATGAGGTCGACGTCAAGGAGAATCTTGGTTTACATCTCCATCGCTGACAGTATCGTGGCCGCAAGTTATATCTTTGGCGCATATCTACCTCAGAACACGAACTCGGGAGCTTGTACAGCACAGAGTTATTTATCCACCACCGCTTGCTTATGGTCCTACTTATGGACTCTTTTTATGGCTATATTTTTGTACACAACGATAGCCATGCAAAAACCCAGCACGGCTCTAAAGATGTTTTGGATGTATCATGGCATAGGATGGGGAGTGCCTGTGTTTGTCGTGAGCCTTGCTCTGTTTGAAGGTAAGCTGGGGAACGACCGTGACATTTACAGTTCTGCCTGGTGTTGGATAAAGGTAGAAGGTAGTGGAAAAAGCGCTGGCCACCACGATTACATCATTTGGATGCTTGTCACTGGCAAAGCATGGGAAATGCTGGTCTTTGTGCTTATTTTGATTTTCTATGGATTGCTCAAGTGGCATCTGCGCGAAGAGGTAAAAACAGTTTAAAATATTAAACAGTTCTGTCAAATGTTTAACTGATATTGATTCATGATGCATTCCGCAAAAATATTTAATCTTTACTCACGCTAAGAAATTCATCAGGCCACAATTTATAATGAAAAAAACAATAGGTGGTTCGCACGTTACGTCATTTCCGCCATGTTGGTGGACGTAAACAATAGATATCTCATTAGCTTCTTTTTGTTCATCGACCAGCATTTGTTCCTTTCACCATTGTTACCTGTGTCTCTAGAGATTGGTTGGAAACCACATATATAAGCTAAACAGAGCATTTGTAATTTAAACATTATAAATAACTTACTACAGTGTAGATATTATCAAATTATTCACCAAGTAAAAGCGTGCTTTTCATGAGTGCCGTGTATCTAATCTATAAATGTGAGATGTATTAATCGCTAAGCGATTCTATCCCTCTAAGGTTAAAGGTTAGACTGTTGCAAGGGCTTGCACCAATCTAATTAAAATTATCCGATCTTTTTAGCATGAAAATTGTTAAACTGTGACTTTCATTTGAGAATTGGTTCTACGTATCGATAAAGTAATTATTAAAAGGGTCAATCAGTCATTAATCTTAAAAACTGTTTTTCACGCAATCCAAACTTAACGGACTAGCTGTCACGCTTCCTTTGCGGAAATTATGTTTTTGTCGCTTTGAGAGAACGACGGGAAGAACTTATGGTTGGAAAGTCAATCTATTATTTTATCCATAACCATTTCATTTATTTATTTATGCAGTAAATTCATTTCTTTATGAAACATTTGAAAGAATGCTCAGTGTTTCCTGATCGCATGTTAATGTTCAATTTTATTCGCGGGACTTTTTAATTCATCGTAATCTTGGCGATAACTAATCAGAACGATGAAAGGTGGACCTGTTGTTTTTATAGGCTCGTTTTCCCGTCATTTTAAGCTCCAGTCCACATTGTAATGTTGGTACCATACACCGAATGTAAATATGGCGTCCAATTTGAGTTGCCATTTTTTTGGACTGACTAGCCTCTCACACATGTAATAATCCTTTTGTATTTCCACGTGAAGACGAGGCTAGTGAGTCCAGAACAATGGCAACTAAAATTGGAAGCCATATTTGCATTCGGTGATTATAGTAAGGTATTGTGCCGTAAGATCTGGAATCAGAGAGCACGAGGCTGTGAAATTGCACTAAGTTTCCTGGCAAGCACTGAATAAACAACGATTCTTCCAATTTCCGACTCTCATTTGATTCATTTCCATAAAAGCACCTGGAAATCGAACCTACGGTGTTCGTCTCTGTGGTATAACCTAAGCTGGTCACATCATTACCTTTTCTTTTAGATAGGTTGAATTCTTTTCTAGTAGCATTCTTTTTTTTTATTCTAAACTGCTTTGTTTTCAGTTGCACCGTAACGAAAGGCATAGGATAAGAAGTAATGCTCTGGATGCAGCAAAAAGGGCTGACAAAAGACTAACTTGTGTTCCCGTTATTTTCCTAATTCTACGGGCCTGTGGAGTACTTCGCTTCTGTATTTATATATCTTCATCAGCAGAGGAGTTGCACTCGGCAGAAACGCGGAAAATCCAAGAAGTTTTGGTTTATTTGCAGGTAGGTGGACAACATCTTAGCTGACCTAGGCTTGCAACAGCTACACAACTCGAGGTTATAAAGCGAACAGAAAAAGGATAGACAGTTTAACCCTAAAATTCGTAAAAAAAAAAAACTGACTAGCATCTCATTCCCCCTTACAACATAGCCTCTGAATTAAACATTAAGGTCATGAGAATAAATGAACTGATCACCAACTAAAGAAGCTCTTCATCGTCAAAAAAATTCCCCATTTCAACACCTTAAAATGTATAGAGAACAGTTTGGAAAATATGCATACTGATGTTAGGGTGAAAAGGGTTCATGGAAAGGTCAAAAGAAATACCAAACCACAATAACTAGTTGTACCTGTTGCTAACAACAAGTGGTTTAACTTTTAGGTTCGGGGCTTTTCCCAGGGGAATCTCATTTAGTATCACGCCCCATTTGCTGAAAAACAGTTTGGCTCGCTACAGAGGAGATACTTCAGAAGGCTTATTGAAAGACAACTTTGGTGAATTGAAATAAAAAAAAGAGGTAGAACCTCGAAGATTTCTTTTCGCGAAAAATAATTAAACAGCGGCCATATTGTGTAAACGGCTTAACTTATGATAAAGCGAATCGCTTTTAGGACAATCCACAATCTTTCTTTATTGCGTAATTTTCGGACAGTATTATCCTTTTTTTCCCTAGGGAATGTGCGAGAGCGGACAAGGATTAGCCAATTTTGTATTTTTCTGCTTGCTTACCAAGAAATTCCAGGAAAATTCACGGAGATTGTTATACAGACACTGCACATGTCTTGAGGAGCTCTGGGAATTCAACACGACCACGGAGCCGACCGACCAGGGTATTAATTCAACATATGGCTTTAACATACTTGATTCAGATAGCACAGAGATGAATGAAACCGCCACGCTATCTCGGACATCTTATTTAAATTCAAATTATCTGGCCATAACCTAAAGATGAAGCCCTCTTCTGTCACCGCCAAGAAGAGGCCTGATCATCGTCTGACGTGGGCGGGTTGAAGGTTCTACAACCACAACCTGTCCCAGACTCCCTACCTCTATCTATCGTCTCAGAGGACTCGTAAACTGTTAAACTTGCCAAATATTATTGTCCGTACCCTGGAATTTTTTGGATTACACAGAAGCAGGAGTGGTGTGAGAAAAAGGATAATTTCGAGAGTTTTTCATTATCTTAGTTTTGAAAAATGTAGTTAGAACAGGTTAGAATTTTGAAATCTATTTATGTGGCCGAACAATTCTTATAGTGATGGGGTTTTCCCCATGATTGAATCGTTCTGGCCAATCAAATGTGATAATCAAGTCTGACTACAAAATCAGTAGTTGGAGTCGTGACGTGTGATCTAGTTCGATGACATTCTAGTTCGGGGACAAGTTTTTACTATAATTAAGTTCATCAAGACGATGAATCAAAACTGAAATTGATGTAATCAAGAAAGTTGTAGAAAAGAATAGATTAAAGAAGTTTTACAAACGAAAGACGCATAGAGCTCGTTATGATGGTCTCTTATCTATGGAGTAGCGGTACATTGTGCGTTTTCGAGATGATCTCGTTCTTTGCTTGACTAAGGCGAGTGAGTCAGGCATATTCACTGTCTTCACACGGATGGGCGATTGTGAATTCATCAGGTAACTTCTTGTGGATTTATCGAACCCAACCTAACAGCCAGTTCTCACTCTCAGTATATTTTCCCAGTTATTTAAATTGGTTTTCCAATAGGATTCCACGGGTATCTATCGTTCTTTTTCATGCATGCTGGATATTGCTGACATCTCGGACAAACGTCCTGGTGAAATTTGTCATTCTAATTCCTCTCGACACGGGTGTAACACAAATGCTAATTTAATACCAGAGATGTCTTATTTTGTGCATATATCAAACGTAGAACTTGACACACGTACCTGCCCGAGCATATATTCATAAGAAACCAGAGAAGAGAGAAATGAATTGTTGAGAGAAGTTAGCCCTTTGTCAGAGCGAATTTACATTATCGACTTAGTTGATAAAACCAAAATTACTTTGGCTAGACCAGTTCGGTACAACTTCCTTGTTTCAAGTAAACCTACTGCATGGCATACCCACAAAAGAGTGAAGAAGACCAAAATCTCAATTTCGAGTCATAACTGAAGGTGAGTATTCTAAAACGACTTTTCTTTGTTGGTAACCCAGGATAAAGCCTGAGCCTTTTCGATCTGATTCTAAGTATTTGACGTAAATACTAACGGAAATCTTTCATGAAAAATTTATTCCACAAATGGTTCGGTTGAAATGAGGAAGTGAACTGTCTGATTTCTCATTAATGATATGATAACGAAAGCGGTTAATTGTCACACAATTCGGAGCGAGCGTGTTAGACCATGCGCAGTTGATTTTCATAGTTGGAAAGTCATTCCTCCACGAAAAAGCGAAAGTTTTTAACTGTGATCTGGATTATTGCATTCTCAAAAGCAACTTACCATTATATTTAAATGAGAAGAAACAAGCTCAGTCTTGATTTGTCTGTACAGGTCAGGTTTTCTGAGAAATTGAAACCGATAATGCTTCTATTTACAGCTGTTGTTATTTTAGGTAAGTACAGTCTGCTGTACGATCTTCCCCGACTGAAATAAGCTTTACTTTCAATCCTAGAAGGCAAACTGGGACATTTTGAAACGGCGAAGGTATAGAAGGCATTGAAAGAGATAATTTCAAGGTGTTCAGGCAGTTATGAGCATCAAAATAACTTGCCTGGGTTTAACATACAAGTAATCTCAAGCCACGTTAGCTTCAGCTTAGTCATATCTCGAAGAAAGTTGAATTTGTGTAACGGTAACCTTGGTATGCGTACATAGGCTATAGGAACTCATAGGATCAAATGGAACTTGATTTGATTTCGGAAGGTTAATGTTGGTTGCCGGTTTTATGTTAAGCATCTATTTATTTTGTAATCTACAAAAGCTAAAGAAGCTCGCCAGCACTATAGCTGCCGTGTCGCTCCAGAATTGATCGAATGACGTTATCATAGTTAATCTTTCTCTCGCTAATATCTACTGATGATAGGCTCTCTTTACCCATGTAACGCCGAGTTGCCGGCTGTGGGGAACTGTACCTTCATGGAATACTACTGTAGCTTACGAAACTACGAATCAACATTCTTCAAGGCGATGAAGGAAGAGACTTCCGCAGATTGTGGGTAAGAAGTAAGCGTAAAAAAAGTAATTAAAAATACTTCCCACGGTTTACTACTTTTATTTCCATATAATTCACGAGCGCGTTTGCTTCTTTGTGTGACCTGTCGATCTTCATGGCATGTCCCGTTTTAATCAACCGCATAGACACTTACCAACTGCAAGTGTTTATGTAATTATCTACGTTGTTGACTAACTGATAGCGCCTCAAACTTTTTTCGGGGCCAAAGCTCCTCGTGTCAATTACATTTAAAATAAATAATCAAACATAGAGTTAAGGGTTGTTCATGAAAATCCTGACTCCTTCAGCCATACAGCTACACATTTCTAGCCCCCTGGTTGCCATATACCAGTATTTTGTTGTCTTTATATTTCTCAGTTTGAAAATTTGAAATCTAGAGCTGGCATTACATGACCGTGTATGATACCCTTAATCAGATCATGTGCTAAGGCTTGCAAAGGCCTTAGGCTGAACTTCATATACGATAAATGATTCACTATTCCGATAATAGAGGGCCGGAATCAGGGTGATTAAACTTCCATGAACCTCCTTTATTCTTAGCAAGCCGTATTCAAACTCCAGATGCTCAGCATTTTTACATGTAAAGGTAATTTTTATTATCTGCACGATTTCATTCAATTATCCAACTCTCTCTCATTTGTTTTCCTATTTTATGGTAAAGGCTCCAATTCTGGATTTTATTTTATCGCTCCATCGAGAAATCAAGGAAATGTTCGAAAACTAGACCAGAATCAAAAGTGGCTGACATTGAGGAAATGAGATCGCTTTACTGCAGCGGGAAAGACTTAGAGATACCGCTTGTTTCTTCGCTGTCCTTGTGTTCTCCCAAACACAAGAGCCGAGTTGATGCATGCATTCGTGACTATGCGGTTACGTTTTCCAGGGACCCGAACGACAAATCACTGTGCAGGTATCTAGTTCTTTTTTTTTTTTTTTCTATCTCTCAGGGCGGCTAAATGCCGTACATCAATTGTGTTCTTCGGATTAAAAATAGCGATTGACACATTTCTTTTGATCATAGCATTTGTCAATAGATGTCCAAACGGATCACTATTTGCAGCCAGCACTTTACTGAGGGTCTGAATGGGGGTACTTCGATAACACTAAATACTTATTTTTTTCGGCTACATAACGTTAAACAATTAATTTTTAGCCATTTTGACACTAACATTAAAAAAATTCACTGTAACATAATTTTTTTTTGCCCATAAACAAACAAACCACGCCCTACTAGGGGAAATATCTATGTTGGGCCCATGTTTGTTGTATGAAAGAGGTTTTTTCGGCCAATTTCCAAAAATTCGGGATTATTTCAAGACTTCCGAAGAGTGAGGAAGATATCCGAAAGCTGCCGGAGATGTTCGAAGGCTGCCGAAGAGGTCCAAACACTTCCGAAGATATCCAAAGACCGCCGAAGATGTCCACTGAGACTGCCAAAGATGTCCACAGACTTAAGACCGACGATATTTGAAGACTACCGGAGATTTGGCTTGTATAACCTATAAAAGTTCTATTCTTAAAGCGCTTTTACAGCGAGGATACACTAACCGTGACCACTTAGAGAGAATATATCAGTAACAAATCAGATTACGATATTCAAATCAAACAGCCAATGGGATGGAACATCAAAATAAATAGTAAAAATTCAGCAAATTTATGGATTGTCTTTACCAATAAAATCGGGTACAGTACTCACAATGTATAATGGTCAACAAAAATGACAGACATGTCACTCCATCCTGGCCATAGACATTTAGTTCTATTCCATACCTGAATAGTCCTAATTGTCCTGATAGTCCCAGATGTTTCTAAAGATCAAGGCGGAAATGAGCGCGGATGGTGCCACCAAATCCGCTGAACGTTACGTTATGTCTGTATCATTGTCCTCATCGCTCTCCAAGTCGGTGTCGAATTCATCCTCTTGCTCGGGGAGGTCCGTCACGTCACCAACTGCGACAACTTCGAGCATGCTTTCGTCAACAAAGGTGATTCTCGCTACTTCGTCTATAACTCGTGGAATATTTGTATCCTGTTCGACTCGTTCTTCATTGTCTGTCCCTGGATTGTCCTAAACATCCTCTTGGAATGTTACTCAAGTACACGATGGCGTAAAGGAATATACAACTGGCGGCAGGGCTCCCGCTTTGTCCTTTGTTGTTTCGCTTCTTACCGTTCTTTGTCTGACAGGTCGCTACCTGTCAACCAATTCCTTCTTGGCTGCCTCAATGTTGGGATCAGCGTTACCAGCTGGAGGAGGTTTCATCAAATCTACATTCCGTAACTCCGCACTGGATTTAGGCACCGGATAATAACTTCTCCAGTGTGAAGTACTTCGCACCCCACTTCGTTGTTCTACCGAAGCGAATTGAAAGTCTCGTTTTTGAAGTGGGAGATTGCATAAAGGTTCTCCACCTGAGTTATTAGCAGCGTACGCAGGTCAATGTCACCGAGATACCAGTTTACATTATTAACGTTATCTCGTAGCTGTTCCATACCTCGTTCGAGAAGCACCAATATTGACTCCTGCGTTTTGCTGGAAATAGTTCCTTCCGGGCCATTTGTTGCTGCTATTTCTTTCATTTTATAGTGCTGCCTTACTTCAGCGACTGTGTTTTTAATATGAGCATTTACATTCGCAAACAATGATTCGTCCCAGTACTCCCCAGAATGTAGACAAGAGCATTTCAGCTTTGGCTCACTGTTCGCGAGTGATTTTCTTGATTTTCTTGCAGAATTTAAATGAGCAGATAAAATTTGAAAATGCTTAGAGAACTTTGGGATCTCCTTTCAAACACTAAACAGTATTTTTTTCATAAACAATAAACATTAAAAGAAATGGCTAATTTAACAGTAAACAGTAAAAAACATGCGCAAATAACACTAAACACTAAACCCCATTCAGACCCTCTTTACTTTGTGTTCATTACTACGTGAATACGTTTACATTTGTAGACCTCTCTAATAAACTAGAGATCTTTATTTGGTGTCGAAATATGCTCGTTTTTATTATTATTATTATTAATATTATATTATTATTATTATTATTATTATTATTTCAACTCTCTCCAGTTGTCGGGTGTTCCACTGGGTAACGTTGTTTGTGTCTCTGCAACTTCCCTTATTATCATTATTATTATTATTATTATTATTATTATTGTCTCTTTTATCACAGTCTTTGCTGGTGTTCTTTTTGTGCATCAGCCGGGCCCAAACCATGCACCTAGAGCGTCAGTCACTTAAGTCAATCATTCTGTTCATACACTGAGCACCTTTATAAGGATTCGGGGCGATCCCAGCATGCAGATCTTTTGAATCTCTGTCATAGTAGCTCTCTCTGATACTTTCTTGATGTTTTCTATCACACTCTTATTATTATTATTATTATTATTACTATTATTATTATGCTTAAGAGGTACAAGAAAGAAGAGAAGAACATTTGAGACATTCGATACAGATTTTTTAATTGACAATGCTGTGGCAAATGTAGGCGAGACGTTTTTAAAATTTGTTTTTACAGTTTTTTAGAGTAAGAGTGTCATTTCCCTTCTCATATATTTTTTTAATGTATTTCACTTTTATAAGGATAATTTTGATACAAGTTTTTTTTTAAAATTCTTTCAATACGAACGAGTAGTTGCTTTCGCGATTTTTATATGTAGGTCGTTTTTGTTATCAAAGTTAGTTTGGGTCTGATACGAGTCTGATCCTAGAGAACCGAAAAAAAATATTATTATTGTTATTATTATTATTATTATTATTATTATTACTGAAGATTCGTTCTCGGAAAACTGTTGGCTTCCTGGAACATATAACATCCGCCCATATATTCGCGCAAAATGGAAGCCAAGGTTTAACTGAACATCATGAGTTTAGCTTATTCCTACAATGAACCACTGATTCCATAAATGAAAGGCCAACTGATATTTTTCCCGATTTTTTCAATGGAAAAAATTATCCTTTTTCCAAAATCACTTGAGC